ATTTGACTATGTGTTTTATCACTTGTGTGATTCCAAAGTTATTTACTTTGATTTATTCTAAAATTGAACATTGTTGTTTTCATTTGACTATGTGTTTTATCACTTGTGTGATTCCAAAGTTATTTACTTTGGTTCATTCTAAAATTGTTTTTATTTGACTGTGTGTGTTTTATCACTTGTGTGATTCACACTTCATGAACTTTTCCAGTCTTTGACACATATATGTTCAGTCTATTTTGTTTATTAATTTAGTCCCTCGTTAAATTTTTCTAGTCTTGTTAAATAATGATAAATATTTACTGAAGTGGACACTTACCTGCAAATGAAGTTTGGTGTGACTACAACTGCTGCAGCTAGGTTTGATTCCTCAATCCAATTACAGTGGGGACGGGAGGGGCACCAGGTGGGTGACTCGTTCCTGTAGTTATATCATAAATCATTATATCAGAGCTTATCATGACTGCTCCACAACAATAGTATTTACTCCACCAAAGGCAAAAACATAAATACTAATCATAACCTCCAACAACCGAGCACACAGCGGGGAACTTACCTTACAGAACTGTCAATAACACGACACAGCTGCGACACATCGCAATACTTCCATACTATCACCATTTGAGCCTTTGGGCCTCTCAAATTCTCGCACGGATCGTTATATTTTACTTCAAAACGCATATAAATAGTTGGCTTTCCCCGAAGCCCCGAAACCGCGTTGTCAATAAACAACAGAGCAACTGTTACCACAAGGAGCGCGCTTGAATTTATTCATCTGTGACTAGTTATTCTTCCACACGCAAACAAAATACGCACCTAAATACTGATATTTTTGAGTTGCAATAGTTTCTTAGGTGATTGTGCTCCAAAATGTCCATGTTTGACTGATTTATTTGGCCCAAGCGGCGTCCATGGACTTGTCATTGTTAGTGTGGCCCTCCCCGCGTCGGTGGGTCCTACGTCACAACAATATCAAAAACAAGAACATCGACGCTCCACGGCCTCCCATTTGAGTGGGCCCCCGTGGGAAAAGTCCAAGAAAAAAAAACAACAGGTAGGAGCATTTCAAGTTATTGTAAAACATTTTAAAACATCGTCACAAGAAGAGTATCACATTTTTGTAAATCATTTCTAGGGCACCAAGAAACAGGAAGAAGCAGACAACTAGAGTGCAGCCTGATGTTTCTATTATTCCACCTGAATCTGAAGCAGACCTTCAAATGGGTCAGGGGCCTCCAGTAATTACACAATGCAGAGTAAGAAAAATTTGTGTTTTCTTGCAAAATTAAAATTATAAAAATAGCCATTACTTTGTGATTATATTTACAGGCAATCTACAGACCAAGTTGTTATTTTTGATCACGGGCAAGTCTCTCCTGTGTTTCAATCCAAGTGAGTCTCAAAATAAAAGAACAACTTGAGTAGCTTTGTAGCTATTATATAAAACTAATTTTAAAATGTTATGTCTAGGAACCTGGGGAAGAGGGAGAGACCTGCTTCTAACAAGGAAAATTTACCACCAATAAAGCCGACGTCAAATAAAAAAAAGAGGAAGTGAAGTAAATCTTTCCCAGTCCTGCAATGAGTGCGTTTATGTTTTAATGAGAAATGTCATTACTTTGAGTAATGTAAATACTTGCATAAATAAATACTTTTATTTCTGATTAATCAAACTTTAGTACAATCAGTACATACAGAACGTATTGTGCAGTTTACACTTTACTAATGTGAGACCATCGGTTACGATATCACCTCAGCTCAGGTCCTAAAGTCATTTGAATGGGAGCTGAAAATTAAAAGAACAATATTAAATACAGTGGTGCTGGCTGCTTCCTTTCTGTTTGATCAATAGGCCTACTACAAAGATATTGAATACTTTGAGAAACTGACAAGATTGTGCTCGACCAGTTGAGGTTAAAAGCACGACCGTGATGTTTCGTGAGAACCTGGAGGCCACATCGAATGTCACTCCAATGTTCGTGGTCTACCTGACTCGCTTCTTTTGACTAATTACTATGCCATTCCTGGAGGAAGCGATGGAAATTAATTGAAAGAATTAAACGAAATGGTTAACAGCAGCAGTCAAAGTGTTGTGAAAACAAACCTGTAGCTTTCGACTATGGCTCTGTGGCTTCGCTGGTATATTGAAAACACACTCGGTGCTCTAAAACAGTCGTTAAAGATTCGCGCATGGTGGATGGATGGAAAGTCTACGAAATTGTCTTAACAATCCACTAGCATATTTTCCTTTCTTTCTAGCTTTCCTTCCTCCTCGCTTACAATCTTCTTCCCTCACTTCACTTTCTGCTTCTCGCCCTCGCATCGGCCGGCCCGGCCTCGCCGTGCTTCCGACACCGGCCGCTAGATGGCAGTGCTCGATCTCGATCACGCGCGCCAGGCTCAAACACTGCGCGTTTAGTTGTTCCCTCACAGCTACTCCCTGCCTCTCACACGAGTGGCTGTCTCATTTTTACCCGAAGTGTCTCCTTCTTCCCCGAAATGTACGCTAGGCCGCCTGTCTCACTTTTCCCCACGCGTGTCTCATTTTTCCCCGGTAAGCAAATACTGAAATAGTCACATTTAAATTCTTCTATTAGTAATAAATCACATCAAGAATTTTAGTTTGCGCACAATTTCGACTACAGAAATTATGATTCATCGAAAACATACATTTTCATGCATGGAAACCCGACTTTTATTTCAATTACAGTCAAAGTATGTGAAATGTCGCATTTTTCCCCGCCCTGACCCTAACTGGACCAGGGCAGGCCTCTACCATGGATCTAACTTTTCTTTTCTCTGGAGTGAGTCTCTCCTCTTCCACTTTGTTCTTGTGCCTTGAAATTTTTTTATGGATTGCTTGTACCTTTTTCTGTAATTCTCTTTTGTCGTCTTCGAGATTCTTTATCTTTCTACCTATGACTTCCCAAACTCTTTTGGTTATTTTTCTAGCCTGTAATTTCTGCCTTGAAGGTCCTGTTGCTCTTGGTTCATCAGAATTACCCAAATGAACATCTCCATAATTGGGCTAAGGCAATAGAAAATCGTCCTGTTGTTTTTTTGTTTTGTTTTTTTTTTTGTCTCTATATCTCTGAGAACACTTCCTCCATTTCTCCCTTTGTTTTTCTTTTTGTTCGAGGGAAAAATCTTTTACTGCTTTTCTGTCTTTCTGTCACTGCTGTCAGATGGATTGAAATCAAATTAATTTTAGTGTATTGTTGTAATTGAAACTAATACTGGAAATTTCTGTATTATAGATGGGAAAAGATAACCTTTCCTTTACTTCTGTTGACAACTATTTCCTTTGGAATATTACAAACAACAATTTGCCCAAACTGTTTAATTCAGCAATCAAAGTAATCTGCCAATAAAGAAGGAAACATTCTCTATTAAATAAGGGTAGTACTGATTTTGACAAACTGGCACCATATTTGAAACTTACCGTTGATGGTTTCTTAGTGCCATGCCAAATCTCTTTATTTTGATTTTCATCATTTTGTGTTTGCGGAAGCTGGTTAGAAATTTCCACGGGTAATGGGTCAGTATAATTGTCTTCTGGAACTTGTTCAATATCTTGAGGGATGAGACTTTCATGCTGAAGGTCAGACTTTAAATGATCCGTGACACTTTTCTCTATGGTAATTCTTTTCACAGTTTCTTCATTTTCTGTCTGCTGAAACAGGATGGAAATCGCAACAAAGGTATATTGTCCTTCAACTAATTTAAAACTAAGAGTTGCATGCAATATAAGTAATTTACGATCTCTAAATCAATAAACAACAGGTTTGTATGATTGTCATTTAAAAATTGTTCCTCTGTATTTTGAAGGGGTGAGATGATATCAAGATGTGATTTCACACTTTCCTCGCTGGTAGTTTGGTTATTCTGTTGGAAGAAAGGGGGAAAAGAAAGAATGTCTCTTATACTGACCTCATAAATTTCACATCTCTAATTAATTTCTCCACAACTCGATGCGCCCTAACGAAAGAGTCCGATCTGCTTTGCTGCTGAACCAAAAGAGTCCGATCTGCTTCGCTGCCAAACCAGAAGAGTCCGATCTGCTTTGCTGCCAAACCAACAGCGTTCGATCTGCTTTTCTGCCTTGGAAAGTCAGGCATCTTTGGAGGGCTACATAACGCAACATAGAAAGAGTAGCATGTCACCCTGTCCTTTACGAATGTGTTCACCCTAAAACATATACCCTTTCGCTCACAAGCTTCGAGATATCATAGAGTTTATGCGGAGCGGTCGACGAGCGCCGAAAGCAGATCGAACTCTTTTGGTTTGGCAGCAAAGCAGTTTGGACTCTTTTGGTTTGGCAGCGAAGCAGATCGGATTCTTTTGGTTCAGCAGCAAAGCAGATCGGACTCTTTCGTTAGGGCGCATCTAACTTACCAGAACCGTTAAATCGTCATTAGAATGTGCATAACTAGGGTCACTTGGTGGTGGGGCGGAGGGCCTTGTTCTCAACGCCCCTGACGCGACACCGTTTGAGATATCACAAAACGGATTGCAGCACCTGGTGCAGCTACTCAAGGGCTACATATTTCGCGAATAAAACGCTGGTCGAAATTTTTACGTCTTTTTGGCGTCGACAGCGCCTATGAGTCTTCACCTAACACTTGAATTATATTCTCCTTCGTCCAGAACGAATGGATGACAGCAGTTACACTCAAGAAACGAGCGTGCTGAACAATGGAAATGAATTTTTGTATAGTGGTAAGTCAATAGAAACATTATTTGCACAACTCACAACATCAACCACCTCTGCAAGCTTTAATTTCTACTTCTTGAAATGTCTCTTTTCTAGTTGATTATTTACTGGAGGAACAACAGCCATCAGCTGTCTCATCCAGCTGCGAAGGAACTCCACTTCTTATGAACGGTAATCAACTTTATCAGTACACCTACCTTCTCAGATTAAAAGTTAGTATTTTTGACAGCTAAAGTTCCTTATTTCAGACCCCCTGGAGGACAGGCAACAAACCCCAGAAGGCTCAGGGGGGGCATTTTCGTGTTCCTTGGTATTTACTGAATCCAAAGAGACCAGTCCCGTCGAAATTAAGCGATTGGGGCCGATTTTATAAGCATTTGAAGAACTTTAGGTAATTGAGAAAAATGTAAAAACTTCAAGAGGGCGGCGCACTGTTTAATTTTTCGAAAATCAAAAATCGCCGAGACACGTAACTCTTAGTTTTCGACAGAGAATGGATAACGACCCGGCGCTTCAAAATTCAAGAAACTTTTTGCAAGCGGTGGACGGTCTAGTGTAGTAGTTCGGTCGTCGTGCGCCAGGTGGCGCTGCAGTAGCGCCGAGCGATACTGGCGAGCGGCGGCTTGACCAAGCAGAGTTGCCAGATCGATGGAAATTTCACCTTTTCGGGGAAATTTTCGGGGGCTGAGGGAAAAAGGGAAAATGCGCGAAAGAAAGGGAAATTCCTAGGAAATGTGAAATTATGTGCAGATTTTGGTAAAAATCTGCCTTATGTCACTATTTTTGGTCGTATTACTTGTTTTCGCAAAAAATGCTCTTGCAAATCTGGTTTGTGGTTCCACTTTTCATCATTTTCTGTCAAAAGCTGTTTGAATTTTCTGCCTTGGGTTGCTGTCAGCAATGGCAACTATGCTTCTTGTTCATTGGCTGAGCGATTAGCAAAGCCCATTCACTGACCGAAAAAGTTTCATTCTGTTTGTTTGTGTGTTTGTCTGTCTGTCTGTCCGCACGATAACTCGAGAAGGAATTGAGATAGCGATCTGGGAATTTCAGGGTCGTTTTGTATCATAACAAGCAGGCCCGCCCTTCCGCCAAACGGAGTTGCCAGCTCCACTTCGCTGCGCCGGCAACTCCGTTCAGCAGGGGTCGGGCCTGCTTGGCCTGCCGGCGGCGATGGCTATTTACTGAAGTGCATCATCAAATAAACAATGTGACCGGTAAATCACTTTGCATATTTGAGTAAAAATAAAGCGTCCTGTGGGGGGCCTGCGGCACTAGAAATTTGCTCCTTGGACATGACAAAAGACTGTAACGGGGCAACACCGTGACTACACCCCACCCTTCTGCTTTGCTTACAAAAAATTAACCCACGCAGTTTCTAGATTGTATATTGTTTGTCAAACAGTCCTAAAACTTGACTTTCTGCTATTATTTTCAATATATCCACCTCTAGGGCCGAAACAGTAAAAGATACGGCTAATCCGAGGGTAGTTCCTGATTCAGAATGCGTTGTTTTGGGGGGGTACTCCCTCTGACATTTTACGATTGGACGCCTCCTTGTACGTCTTTATGTATTTTTTTTCCTACTTTTTGGACCAACCCCTATTTCTTTGTTACCCCCTTTCACCCCCCTAGGGGTGGTTGCCAGGATTTGCACCAGGCGTTTCGTTGTCTCTCATCTCCTTCCTCTTACACGGACGACGGACAGACAGACAGACACGGGAGCGGTTGCATAAGCCCGCTTTAATGCTTTTTTAAAAGCAGAAGGGCGGGCTAAAAAGACAGATCGAGTTCGAAGATGAGCATTCTAGCTCAAAAATTGGCTTTTAAAAAAATCAAAAACTACAGGTCGCAAAATGCATTTTTATCAAATATTTTTTTATGGGTTCCTAAGGGGTAAATCGTCAAAGAAGAGCCCTACGGGCGAAAATTTCGTCCGTTTGGCTCTATCTTGTACCGTTTAGGTGCTAGGGGGCATTTCTTGACAAAAATGAGGTAAAAATGATAAAATGTTCGAAAAAATTGTATTAACAGTCCTATTGCCCCGTCTCGGGTGTCAGCGCCGCAGGCCTAGCTATATGTGCGCCAGGCGCGTCGCAGCGTAACAGTGTTTCGTGAGATATCGCGAAGCCTGTTACGCGAGACGTGGTCTGGCGTACATATAGCTAGTCTACTTCTTTCTTCTGAGAATGGTCGTCAATAACTTATCGCATGAAATTTCTGCGCCGTGAACTGCGGCACTCTTGAAGTTCACTGAAGAGAGGGTGTCCCTGTGCCAGTATTCTCATAAGGGGTTGTCCTGCTGGCCGCGGTTTTCTCTCTCAATCAGTGGTCGCTTCTCCGCAGTGTCCGCCACTGCAAACGTCCTTGCCAAAATATCGGCGCACCTCTGCTACAGGACGTCCTCCGGCACGTCCGGCGTAGTGGGGCCGTGGTAGGCGTCGGTCACCAATTCGCTTCCTCTGAAAGCGCGAAGGTGCATCGGGCCGTTCCTTGCCATTCTCCAAGCCCATTGCATTCAGCAATTTTTTTCCTGGCTTTGGTGGAGCAGTGCTGGTCGACTTATTCCTCTTCACTTTGCGCATTGGCTCAAGGTTCCACTCGGGCCCCTTTTCGTAAGCCAGGGCACCCGCGTCGAACCACCGCTCGTATACACCGCTCATGAAATAATCCACTCTCTTGCCCTCGTCATTTTGGGCACCATGCCCATGTTCCAGCATATAAGACCTTGATTTACCACATGCTAAATAGGGGATTATCTAAAAGACAAGCACTCACAAGAATGTTTTCTTGCCCCAATCCCAAAATTATTCTTGACTCAACTTTACTTGGGATGAGAATAATTTTCTCGAGTGAAGGCGATTTTTCTTGTTCGAAGAAACATGGTTTTCTTCCCACAAGAAGAAAATATTCTTGAAACATTCTGCTTAGCCCAAGAAAACTATATGCTTGTGCGAAAGAAACATGTAACTAGGCCGGGCGGGCGTGGGTGGAGGGGGGAGGGGCGGTTCAGGATGGAGCGCGCGAGAGGACCGGGCTACCTGAGGTACAAAGGCAGCGCTGGGGACACGGTCACGCATGTGGCTTCATAGCTCAAACGGTTACTGCTTACGCTTTAGCGCTGAGTTGACACGATCAGGGTTCGAATCCCGGCAGTGCCAATTAAAGGCGTGAGTTGCATTAAGG